TAAGTACATTAAGGCTGAGAAACAATTAAAATGAAACTTCAAAAAAACTGTAGATTGCATAAATTTCTTTGTGCATGTAACAGTTATATCTGAAAAGCATTTCTCAGAGCGAAATTTTGACTATTGTATCATGGTATGGGGGAAATATCACTAGAATATAGCCATATCATATGAGTGCGTAGAGACAAGTGGAACATAAAAATTAGATAGCATCTATCACAATAGTTTAAAAAAGGCATATAAAGGATTTTTCTAAATTTGTGTATATATATATATATATATATATATATATATATATATATATATATATAAATTTCTGATATTTTTCAAGCTGAGTATTGCATATTTAAAAAAAATGTTATCTGACTTATTAAAATTGAGTTAATAATTGCTTTACTACCTCAGCTGCCCTATTAAAATGTGCATATTGAAAGGAAATTAATTAGAAGAAATATTTTAATGTCACTATTTGCCCTTTCTCTGTAATAGAAGTGTCAACCAAATTCACAATCAATAATGACAGATGGAAACACATGCAGGTGATTGGTACCAGCGAGAGCTTTATATGTATCACTCATGTGCAAGTTAACTTAGCCTTTTATAGATATAAAACAAACGTGCTTAATTAAACCTGCTTTCTGATTTAGTTAAACTTTTTCCAGCCCAGGAAAGCATCCAAAGTTCTCTTTCAAGGTAATTGTGAGCAGCACAGTAGTAAATATCAACATGAAGCAGATTATTATTGTAGATCACACAGAGAGAACAAAGGGTAAAATATTTAACTGCAACAATTGTTTGACTACATTCTGCACAGTGAGAAAACCTGAAGTCATTTTCAAGAACAACCATTTCTTACTTCTTTTCAATTGGGTCAAGTTTCTAATCTTTCTAAATCTCAGTTTTCTGGCAAATGAAAAGAAAATAGGATTCCACCAAGTCTTCTACCTACCTACTCCAGGACTTTTGTGAGGATTAAATGAGATGAGGAACAAAAAAATTCTTCACAAACATTTGGTTTTCATCTAGCTATGCAGCAAGTTGTGTTCTGGAGCTAAAGAAACTCCAAGGAGGCTAGTTGCTAAGGAGAGGAAGCTGGGTGTGGCTATATGACATCATTACCCAGATGGACACTTAGGATATTAGCCTTTTATATATATAGATTTTTAAAAAATACATTTTATTGATTTTTTACAGAGAGGAAGAGAGAGGGATAGAGAGTTAGAAACATCGATGAGAGAGAATCATAGATCAGTTGCCTCTTGCACACCCCCTACTGGGGATATGCCCACAATCAAGGTACATGCCCTTGACTGAAATCGAACCTGGATTTCATCTGCAAGCCTATGCTCTATCCACTGAGCCAAACCAGTTTTGGCCTGTATATATGTTGATTATAAAGTCACTTAAAGTGAGCTAAAAACAGTCTACAATTCAATGAACCCCTTATCCTGGGGCCTCTAAAAGCCAGAATCAAAGTCAGGGATTAAAGTGATAACATCTATTTGGGAAGGCATCTGAAGGAGCAATAGAAAGCACATGTAAAAATGAAGCAAGAGAAGACAAAGACTGATATGCTGTGATACATTACTCAGATGGCTGCCACTTTACATGCGTTGAGAGACAAAATGATGGTCAGTGATTGGCACACAAGACTTTTTTGGGAAGTTTACAAGGTGGAACCATATGCAGCATTAGTCCAAGGAAGAGAAAGAGGAGAGAGAATACACACTTTTGGCCCTCTCACGTCTCCTATTTCCCATTGGCCAGGTTTTATCCAAAGCAGAACTAACATCTCTGTTCATCTAGCCCCTCAGTGGTCATTTGGAAAGTGAGATCTCATGCTCCACAATGTGGTGTTGTATTCAAGTCCAAAATGGACAGATGATCTGGCTCAGGCAGGGTATTGACCCAAAGATTAGGAGATGGTCTAGGGCAGTGTGTGGTGCTTTCTCAGCTTCCCTAGACAAGTGGTCGGCAAACTCATTAGTCAACAGAGCCAAATATCAACAGTACGAGGATTGAAATTTCTTTTGAGAGCCACATTTTTTAAACTTAAACTATATAGGTAAGTACATTGTTATTAACTTAATTAGGGAACTCCTAAGCTGGCCTTCGCTAAAAACTCAAGGGGCAAAGAGCCGCATGTGGCTCACGAGCCTCAGTTTGCCGACCACTGGTAGGTCAGTGGTTGGCAAACCATGGCTCCTCTCGCCCGACCGACCGACCAACACCCCCACTTCTTTTAATGCCACTTCTTCATAATAGACTCTCCCAGGCAAAAACCAACGTCTGCGCATGGGCCACGAAGTTTCAATTACACTGTATGTGGACACCTGCATGTGGTATATTGTGGAAGAGCCACACTCAAAGGGCCAAAGAGCCCCATGTGGCTCGTGAGCTGCGGTTTACCGACCACTGGACTAGGGAAGCCGAGAAAGCACACACATTTGTGTCTACAGAGCTCACTCTGTGCCACTCAGATGTACTCATGTCCTCCAAACATCCGGAACATTCACTGGTTTTCTGAATGCAGTGCTTGTGCAGTTGTGGGCCTTGGGTACAAAGGAGCTCTAAGCTTGGTTTAATGCTGTGCGCTTCCTGTTTTGTTTTTCAAACAGAAGGTATTCCTCTGCCTATGAGGAGATGGCTTTCACTAATTCAGCAGGAGTTTACTCTCCCAGACTTCCTTGGGACTTGTAAGCAACATGCAGATGCCTGACCCCTACAACTGTGTCAATTTTAACCATTTTCAGATTTTAAAATAAGAAATATCAGATATATGTGTAGGTATGTGAGTGACACAAAGTTACTAAAAATAGAACTTTATACTTTTATACACAAAATATTCCTACTTTCAAGTATATGTCTAAAATTTTTGAAAATGAAGAATAAATTATAGACTATTGAAAATTGCATACACAAAATTTATTACCTCAAAAATAGGACCCAGTATACAAATGTTTTTGTAGAAATTCCTCCAATACATGAAGATGCTTTCTTTCCATTCATCCTTTTAAATCATTAGTTTCACATTCAAGAATTTATTAATTATATTTACTAGTAGGAATATCTAACTTACGTTTAGAAATAAATTGTATTTGCCAATATGCTTTTCAAACATGTGCTTCAATTGATTTTCATTTTAATGTGTAAGACTACCAAATCTTGAGTAATGATTTTCTTTTAATCACAAAAAGCTCTTTGGGAGATTGGTGTTTTGGTGTATTTCATTTTATCAGGTACTTTGTTTTTCTGGTGAGTAACTAAAACATTTACAGTAAATTGAGTTCAAGAGGTGGAGTATAGGAGAGAAAATTATGGCCACATATCCTGTCTTCAATACTGCTACACCTTTAATATAATAGAATCTATGTTTTAGAAATGAAGAAGTCTTTACTTATGGCTTACATTCACAAATAGATCTCTTCAGAGAGCAGGCTCTGTGATTAAAATTGATTTTCCTGTTTTCCAAATGTAGTTCATTAATTCATTCATTGAATAAATGTATGTTGAACATCTCTTCTATGTGACTTAGGAGAAATTTTAATAAAGAACTTAAGCTATGAAACAAAATTAAAAGTGGACATATTTAATAGGAAGCCACTAAAAAGAGGACGTTATACTTTTAGGTGCCATGTAATCTGTGAACTTCATAACTTACTGATCCTGACATGTGCATAATACCATTGCTCATGTGAAGAATTGAAGTTCTAAGATGCTAAGTGACATACCACATAGAGCAAGCACAGAGCAGAATAAAAATCCCCAGAGCATGGGGCTCTCCCAATACTCAGGAAACTTCATCAGGAAAAGGTTCTCATGGCACCAAGAACTATAAGGTGTGCAGAGATAAATCTCAGAAATATTAGGTCACATTTTACTGAAACACTTAAGTTGTACTTAAGAACATAAAGGAGGGTCTGAAGAAATATAGATATATACCATGTTCTTGAGTAAAGAGAATCAATTTCATAAGGTAACCATTGTGTCCAAGCCCTTGTCCCTAATGCATTTACAATCAAAATCAAATGAAGATTCAGGAATATTTATAACATTGCCAAAGATTTTGACAACATATTTAATGTGTTAATATTAAATAGATTAGAGAGAAACCTTTATAAAAGAACTAAGTGTGAGATATATGCATGACAAATATTAATAATGGTCTAAAAAATAAAGCCTGATCAAAGAGAAGCAGATTTAAATCTAATAGATCGCCATAATATATATGTTTCATTTTGGAAATTACAGGAGAAGGGTTTGTATCTTACTGCTCATCAGACTTTTTAGGAGAACAAATGAAATGTATAGGTGGTGTGTGTGTGTATTTATAAGCTTGTATATAATGAAGCTATTTATGAATATTAGTTATCTGCATCCAGTTTTAGGATTAGCCTTCCTAATGGTCCTAGGGAAACTGGAACGTTTTTGAAAGGAAACACTTAGAAAACCAGTAGATACATTCCTTTAAGTCTTTCTGTGTGGATCCAATGTTTCTAAGATAAATCGTCAGCAATAATGAGCCATTCTGGTCATCACTAGGCATTGCCTGAATAGTCTAGGTATTTGATTTGAAAATTTTACTAGCTTACATCTTAACCTTAATAATTCAAATGATGTAAAGGTGAGAAAGGCAAAACATTGTCAAATGGTGAAAGGGAATTTGCCTCTATTTGTGTGCTAACAAATGAGCATTCAGCTCTCATTTCAACATTGGCTATGAAATCTTCCAGCCTATAGCAAGTTCCTTTCTGTCAGAACAGGAATTCATTTAAATCATTGGAACAATGTCTTTAGGGAAGGAAGCTTTAAACCCAGGCCTTAGCATAACTTGGTAATGATTTTCTGCTTGACATTGATCTCAGAGTTTAAAGGAAATGAGCACTTCACTGCACATTTACTAACCATGTGCAGGTGGAACTTTGGGATACAAAGGAATAATGAGCAGTAATATTACATTTGGCACTCTCTTTTCCAGACTTGACTTTTCCCCCCCAGTCATGATAAGCTTACTACAAAAATTATTTTCCTTGCTAATAGTGACAGAATTTGTTCTAGGAAATGTTGCCAATGGATTCATAGCACTGGTGAACTGCACTGACTGGGTCAAGAGATGCAAGATCTCCTGTGCTGATGGAATTCTCACTGCTCTGGCTATCTCCAGGATTGGTTTGCTCTGGGTAATAATATTCTATTGGAATGGATTTCTGTTAAATCCAGCTTTGTATAATTTAAGACTAAAAACTATTATTGGTATTACCTGGGCAGTAAGCAACCATTTTAGCCTCTGGCTGGCCACCAGCCTCAGCATATTTTATTTGCTCAAGATAGCCAATTTCTCCTCTCTCCTATTCCTTCACCTAAAATGGAGAGCTGAAAGAGTGGTTTTCATGATACTATGGGGGAGTTTGTTCATCTTGGTTTGTCATCTTACAGTGCTAAGCATAGATATTAAAATGCAGATGAATGATTATGGAAGAAACATCACTTGGAAGACCAACTTGATGGAGATTATGTACTATTTAAATATGACTGTACTCACACTTACAAACATCATACCCTTTATTATGTCCCTGACAGCTTTTCTGCTGTTAATCTTTTCCCTGTGGAAACATCTGAAGAAGATGCAGCTCAGTGGCAAAGGAACTCAAGATCCCAGCACCAAGGTCCACGTAAGAGCCATGCAAACTGTGATCTCCTTTCTCTTGCTATTTGTCATTTATTTCCTTGCTCAAATTTTGGCAATTTGGAGTTTTATAACTCCGAAGAATACTTCCGTTCTCATGCTTATTGAGGTTCTTAGAATGCTGCATCCTTCAGTGCACTCATTCATTCTGATTTGGGGGAACAAAATGTTAAGACAGGCCTTTCTGTCATTTTTGTGGCAACTGAGATGCTGGCTGAAGGAAAAGAAGTAAGGGGGCACCTTGTGTCTTCTGGCAGAAAACAAAGCGATGGAGGCTATAACGTTTTTTACTTCCTACTACATTTCTTAGTGTTTATAGAATTGGGTATGGTACACCTGAAGCATTGTAACCTCCATCTTGTAAAAAACTGCTGATTGAATTCTCTGTTATTATTAGATTGTCCCTAGTCCTGTAAACTCTGTCATTATAAACTCTGTCACTTTAAGACAGTCTGTTATTCTGTAAAATGACTTTATTTTTAGTTCAAATAATAGTAAACGATCAACTTAATTGTCTGACCTTGCAAGCTAACCATCCAATGTCATAGATAATTCCTGTATTCTTATGCCAAGTATAAACTCTTTATGTATTCCAAGTTATAACTGTGTGTAACAATAACTCACACAGAGCTCTTTGTAATATCTGCAATGAAAGAGGCTCAAAAAGTATAAATATGAGACACTTCCTCTATTTTGCGGCTCAGAGATTTGGAAAGAGACACTTCCGTCTGGGCCACTGGCAATAAATGACTCCTAATTGATGGCTCATTAAGGCATCTTGTATCTCATTCGATGATTGACAATATCACATACTTAGAAAAACTTTTACCTAACCTTATCACAAAAATGCTTATGTGGGCATATTTATAAAAAATACAAGAAATATTGCCATATTATCTTCTTTTTAAGCATGCAATCTAATTTTACAAAATGGTGTAAGAAATTCCTCAGTATTATGAAGCCATGTGTATCTCACATACATATTCTATTTTAGTATCTTGCAAGTGAATAATTTATTATGTATATTGATGCATTTTTAAGGACTGACAACTCATCACAGGAAATCATTGTTTTTCTTCACTCTATTTAGTACCACACATATGTATCACAGTGAGTATAGTTTTTTGTTTGAACCTATAATCTTTTAGATGTGAAGGATATTCAATTCTACTTCACACATTAAGGATGGATGCTTTGTACAGATATTATTTCATCATGAATTTTTACTTCATGGTTAAGGGATAGTAATAAGATTTGTTAGGAAAAAGATGCATGTAATGAAAATAAAGAGTAAAAAACATAGTTCACATATATGTATAATAAGCAGTACTAATGATTATTATATTTAATACAATAGTTGAAAGCTTAGAAAATAAACAAGTTCTACAATAGGGATAAAGAAGAAAGCAAAATGATCATGAGGTTTTAATGCAGTTATGGTTCCCTATGAAGTTAGGAAAGCCATTTCTCATTGTGTTTGAATTGAGAAGACCTTTTTTAAAAGTAAAAAACTGATGTCAGTCTATTTAGTTTAACTCTAACCCATGTTTGGGCCTCTGAATTTCCAATCAATTGCTCCACCTTGCTACCTAAACATTTATTTTAAAGTTTAGACAAACATAACACTAATAAAAATAAAAAAGGCTTTCTTTAAGGGCATGGTCATATGTATTCTATTCAGATTCCCCATAGAAGATGATTTATAGAAGAAGAATACAAAAGATTGTTGCTAGTATGGGTCTAAGGGAGTGGTTTTCCCCTTAGATTACCCAAGCCAGTACAGTAGCTCTCTTGTTGATTGAGAGTGCAAAATGGCTCGATGACAGTCTTATTTCCAGTCTGATAAAATCACTGGTGTATCTCCTGGTAGAAAGTTCCTTACTTTATACAATGACCTCCAGGCCAGAAAATAAGGTCACAGGAAGATGAAACAGAAACTTTGGTACTGGGTTACTAGGCGCAATAGTGAGTGGTGATCCTCACAGTCCCATCCCGTGATTCTTACACTTGTGAATCTGGTTCCTGGAGAGACAACACCATTTATTGCATGCTGATTCCAAGTATGTGTCACCTTTTTGGAGAACCTTGTTTCAGCCCTGCTAGATATTGTCACCTAATGAGCACTGCAAATGAGTCTTTAAAAGGCCATTATGCCATTCTGTTAAGCTAGCTGCTTCAGGATGATGGGGAGCATGGCTAAGATGAGTAAATTCCATGATCCAGGGTTTTTTGCCACACCTATCTTGCTATAAAGTTTGGTCCTTGATCAGAAACAATGTTTTATATATAGTGCCTTCATGGTGGATAAGGATTGGGTAAATGCAAGCATGGTAGTTTTGGCAGAAACATTGCACTCAGAAAAAGCAAATCCATATCCAGAGCAGGCATCTCTTCCAGTAAGAACAATACATCTCTTCCATTGTGAAAGTAGTCCACCAGGTACCTGGGTCATCACCCCCGAGAATGGTGCCATATTTGAGACTCAGTATTGGTTTGTGCTATTGGCACATTTGACATTCAGAAGTGACCATTTTGTTCCGACTCCTGTGGTTATGTTGTTCATGAGCCCATTGGGTGATACAAGAGGTGGCTGAGAAAAGACTGTTATCCACAGAGCCCATCATTTTATCTACTATGTATATTAAAATTTGTGTTGTAGCCATCCTTTGGAAACATTCATATGGGACATAAACCTTCACAATTTTTGCTCATTCAGAGAATTCTGTCCATGTACCTCTTTCTCAACTGCCTTATCACTAATTTCCCAATCATTTCATTCCAAACTGCTGACCATCTGGCCAAACCATTGGCCACAGTCGGTGTGTCGGTATGTAATTACAGATCTACCCATTTTTCCTCCAAAGCAAAGTGAACACATATGTACAATGGTCAGAATTCTGTCACTAGAGGATTTCCCTTCACTGCTGTCATTTGAAGATGTCCCAGAAAGGGACTGCCATGCTGCAGCTGTCCACTTAGGGATGGCACCTGCATGTTGTACAGAATTATCTTTAAACCAGACCCAAGACTCTTCTTCCTGTGTCAACTGATTGTAGGAACTGTCCATGAGGCCAGCGGTGCAGGCTGGAAAAGAAAGGGCAGTGTATCAGGAGAGGGGACCATGGGCATTTGGGCCACTTCAAGTAACTTCCTACTGCTTGGGCATGGTCTTTAATATTTTATTTCCATTCACTCATGCGTATGTGCAACTCCATGACTCCATTGGTTGGAAAACAAGTCATAAAGAGCAGGGCAGGTCCAATGGTAACTTGGTGGCCCATGGCCAAGTGTTTTATCTCTATGAAGGTCCAGTAGGAGGCTCAGAGCTGTCTCTAGCTCCACAGGATGGCAAGACTGCTCCAACGTCCCAAGACCTGCACTGTGATTCACCCATAGAGGCCTGTAAGGCTGAAAACAGCATCTCTATCTGTCACTGACACTTCATATAAGAGAGTATGGAATCTATTTATATTTCAGGGGTAGGCAAGCTTTAATACACAAAAGGAGGTGAAAGATTTTGTTATGGAATACAGATATATGGAGATCTGGATGCTTTGATAGTATCACTTCAGTTTCAGCACAGAAGAGATACAGATAGCAAAAATTCATTAGTGCAGATCTGGAAGCACCACAATCCTTTGCAGAAGAAGCATATTCTTACACAGATGAATCAACAAACTTATGAAACCAAATCTGGGGCATTTCTCACCAGATAGAGAAGTGATTTTTCTCTACCAAATAGAGCAAAATCAAACTCTCTATTATTACCACTGTATTCATTTGCTATTGCTCTGTAACAGATTACCACAAATGTAGTGTCTAAACCCCATAAACACACATATAGTATTACTGTGGGATTTCTTTGGGGGGGTCAGGAATCTGTGCAACACTTAGCTGTGTTCTGTGCTTCAGCAGGATCTTACAAAGATGCAGGGGTTTCAATTATACTGAACTAGAGGTCTAGTGAAAAAAACTGTTAATGAGATGTGGGGAGGAGAGTGTCCCGCAGTCCAGCCTGCATCCTGTCCAATCTGGGAGCCCTCAAAGGATGTCTGACTTCCTGTCTAGGTCAAATGTCTAAACGTGCAGTTGGACATCCCTCTCAAAATCAAGACTGCTGGCTCCCAACCCCTCACCTGCCTGCCTGTCTGATCGCCCCTAACCGCTTCTGCCTGCCAGCCTGATCATTCCCTAACCACTCCCTTGGCAGCATTATCTATGCCTAACAGCTCTCTGCCAGCCGAATTGCCCCTAACTGCCCTCTCATGCTGATCCGTTCACCCCTAACTTCCCTCCCTTTCTGGCCTGGATACCCCTATCTGTTCTCCCCTGCAGGCCTGGTCATCCCCAAATGCCCTCTTCTGCTTGATCATCCCTACTTGCCCTCCCCTGCCAGCCTAGTTGCCCCCAACTGCCCTCACCTGCAGGCCTGGTCTCTCCCAATTACCCTATCCTACAGGTCTGTTCCCCCACAACTGCCCAACTCTGCAGGCCTGGTCCCTCCCAATTGCCCTCTTCTGCTGGCCTGATAACCCACAACTATCTTCCCCTGCAGGCCTGGTCTCTTCTATCTGCTCTCTGCCATCCTGATTGACCCTAACTGCCTCCTCTGCTGACCTAGTTGCTACCACCTGCCCTCCCCTGTAGGCCAGGTCTCCCCCAGCTGCCTTCTCTCCCAGGCTTGATCCTTCCTAACTCCCTTCCCTGCAGGCCTGGTTCCCCCAACCCCCCAACTCCCTGTTCTGCTATCCCAGTCACCCCCAACTGCCCAACTCTGTAGGCCTTGTTCCTCCCAACTGCCCTCTCCTGCTGGCCTAATCACCCACAACTGCCTTCTCCTGAAGGGCTGGTCCCTCCAAACTGCCCTCCCCTGCTGGTTTGATTTCCAACTGCCCTTGCCTCTCAGCCATCTTGTGACAGCCATCATGTGTCCACATGGGTGTGGCCATCTTGAGTGTTGCAGTGATGGTCGATTTGCATATTACCTCTTTATTAGATAGGATTCTTACCTGCACGCTTGACTAGAGAAGAGCCTACTTTCAAGCTCACACAAATTGTTGGCAGAGTTCATTTTCTTGCAGTGCTCTGCATAGGTACTTTGTAATGTGACTGTTTACTTCTTCAAGGCTAGTAAGAATCTCTCTCAGGGGAGGCCCAGCATTCTCAAAAGCTTTACCTGATTGCATCAGACATGTTAAGGATAATCTCTCTTTTGATAAACTCAGAATCAGT